TTCATAGACTCGCGCCTGCTTCATGATTTCGCTGTCTTAAATACTCCTACGCCGGAGCTTTCGTCTAGCTTATTTTAAATTCTTCCGTTCGTTTACCTGCTGTGTTTTGCAGCGTAACCCGCTGTGCTTTTATTCTTGGCCGTGTAGCCGCTGTGCTTCTGATCTTGCCGTATTTCGCTGCGCTTTTGACTTTGTTTTCGTCGTGTTTTGTTTTGACAGTTTGTTATTTTAACACGCGTTTTAAATTCGTCAATAAACAATAATTTTTTGTTATATAAAATAAATTTATTAAAATTAAATTTAAATTATAAATTATATTAAATTAAATTTTAGTATTAAATTATAGTATTAAATTATAGTATTAAATTATAATATAGTTTAAATTATTGTAAATAAATTAAATTAACCAAAATTTCAATTTTTGTGAAATTCAATTCTGTGTTAATTCAGTGCCTAGTTTTTTATGTAGGCGGAAATTTGGTGTCAATTCCGCCTACCATCTTATACAGGGTTAGTTAGATAAATTAATTAACCATATATTAACCATATAAATATTATATATGAATTATATAATATATTAATTATAATAATTTAATTATACAATATGTGATTTACAATAGATTAAAATATAATAAAATATAATATATAAATCATATAAGATATCAATTATAATAATTCTACAGAATCCTACAATATTAACAATTTGACTTTAACCGCTCTAACATTCCGCCCCCCTTGAAAGGATTTTCAATTGGTAACAGTGCGAGTTTGTGGATTGGACGGCGTATTACTCCTTTTGGGGTTTGCACATCAACAACACGAACCAAATTATCTGGACCCCTGATGCAATGCACGATTCGGCCCATCAACCAGCGTTGTGGAGGCATATTGTCTTCTTGGATTAGAACCAGAGCCCCCTCGGTGATGTTAGATTGTTCTTCTGTCCATTTGGTGCGTATCTGCAGCTCATTCAGATAGTCTCTAGACCATCTGCGCCAGAAGTGATGTTTGACTGCGGTTATACGAGACCATTTATCAATTAATGAAGCAGCTTCATACTGAGGACTTGGTTCAGATAAAGTTTTGAGCGGCCCACCGATAAGAAAATGTGCCGGCGTTAGCGCTTCGTAATCGCTCGGGTCACAAGAATGAGGTGTGATTGGTCGCGAATTTAAGATGGCTTCGATTTCAATCAGTGCTGTTCCAAGCTCCTCAAAGGTGAATCGAGTATTTGATAGTGTTCGATACAGATGGCCTTTCGCGCTTTTTACAGCCGCTTCCCATAGACCTCCAAAGTGAGGTGCTCGGGGCGGTATAAAATTGAAATTTATGAATTGGTTGCTGCAAAAGGTCTGCAGCATCACTTGATTAGACTTCTCGAAAAACATCCTTTTTAACTCTGCTAGTTTGTTGTTAGCCCCAACGAAGTTTGTAGCGTTATCGCAATAGATGTCTGATGGTAACCCTCGTCTACCGATTAACCTTTTCAGTGCTGCAATAAATGCCTCCGTAGATAAGTCTGACACGGCTTCGAGATGAGCTGCCTTTGTAGACAAACAAACGAACACGGCTATATAGGTCTTATATGGAACCCGTCCCCGAATTCGGAGATACGTTAATATAGGACCGCAAAAATCTACCGCAGTACGCGCGAATGGACGACTTGGAGTGAGGCGTTCGATTGGGAGATTACCCATCATTTGATTAAGTAGTTTGGGTTTATAACGCACGCAGTGAATACACGAGTGCACGACTCGGCGTGCAATTTCTCGAATATTAATTATCCAGAAGTTTAGTCGAGTAAGGGCAATTAGTGCCTTTGCGCCTGCATGATAGTTGCACAAGTGTACATGCCGAACATAAAGTTCCACAAAATAACAGCCCTTCGGCAACAAAATAGGGTGACGTTGGCCTACTGAGATGTCACTCAGCTCGAGGCGACCTCCCACCTTTAGTAATTGATAACCGAATACATTGTCCAGGAAGGGATTTAGATGCTTTAATGTACCTTCGGCTGGGTTCCCTCGTTGTAGGCGTTGTATATCAATTTCGAAGAATTGCTGTTGGATGACCCAAATTATACAGTGCAATGCCTTTTGTAGCTGAATAGGTTGGAGGGTACATTCTCCGTTCTTCACTTTATTCTTGGTTACATGATAGAATCGCTGTACCTGCGCTATTACTCGTAGTATCTTAGTGTATGAACTATATCTTGACAATACCTGTAATACGTAGTTGTCTTCATTTGTGTTAACAAATACAACCTTTCGCGTCTCTTTATTGACTTCTTCCATATCCAGGTTGTGACATTTCAAATGCGGCCAGTATTTATCAGCGAGTAACAAAAATTCCGGCCCCGTGAACCAACAGGACTCTGTTAATTGGCGGATGTTACAGCCGCGCGACACAACATCTGCCGGATTGGATTGGGTAGGAACGTGTCTCCATTGCCCATTTGCGGTAATATCTTGAATTTCCGCTACTCGATTGCCAACGAATGCAGACAGGGTTGATGAGTGCTGCTTCAACCAATGTAATACAATCTGTGAATCAGTCCAAAAAAACGTTTCACCTTTAAATTGCGCAAATATTGGTTGGACCTTCTGATACAGTTTGGCAAGAAGTAAGGCACCACAGAGTTCTAGTTTAGGTAGCGACTTCCGCTTTATAGGTGCCACACGGGATTTTGCAGTGAATAGCCTGACCGTCACCTTACCTGATGTGTTTTGTGATCGGAGAAATATGCAGCAACCATATGCGCGTATTGAAGCGTCACAGAAACCGTGTACATCAACCTGTTGATAGTTTATGGATAGGCAGTATCTCGGCACCTTAATCGATGAAAGCGTTGTAAGATCTTGAATAAATGTTTTCCAAGCTGAGTGAAGATTTTGAGGGACTGACTCGTCCCAGTCCACACGCAACAGCCACAATTCTTGCATCATAATTTTTGCTACGAGTATGATCGGTGCTAGTAATCCAAGCGGGTCGAATATGAAAGACGCAAGGGATAAAATGGTGCGTTTTGTTACAATATGACCTGGTTGCGCATTGAACGAAAATAGGAAAACATCTTGCATTTGGTGCCACTTGATGCCTAGGGCGCTGGTGACTGTATCTGTATCAAGATTTAAACTCTTTGTTGTAGTATCGCTGATGAAGTCATGATGGTTTGAATGCCATTTGTCAAGATCGAAGCAACCCTTCTGTAGAATGGCCGTTAACTGATGTCTGATATTGGTGAGTTGATCAATGGAATCCGCTCCACCTAAGAAGTCGTCGACAAAGAACGATGATTTAATGAGTGCAGCGCCTATTGGGTATTGTGTTTCAAATTTGTCCGCCAAATACTGCAAACTCCTGGTTGCTAAGAAAGGTGCTGATGCAGTACCATAAGTGACTGTATTCAACTCGTAAGTACTAACAGGATCGGACTCCGTATCTCGCCAAAAAATATATTGGAATTTTCGATCTGGTTCATCTATCAGTATCTGTCGGTACATCTTAACAATGTCAGCCGTCAAGGCATATCGGTGCAAACGAAATTGAAGTAGCAACAAGTATAACTCCGGCTGAATTGTCGGGCCGACCAGTAGAATATCATTTAATGAACGTTGCGATGTTGTTGGACATGACGCATCAAAAACCACCCTCAGCTTGGTCGATGTGCTCGACGGTTTTAAAACACAATGATGAGGGATATAATAATGTGGTTCGTTGGTTTTCGGAGTCTCAACACGCGTCATGTGTCCGAGCTCTCGATATTGTTTCATGAATTCTTGATAATCTTGCTTTAGTGCACGATTAGATGACAAGCGCCGTTCTACAGAACAAAAACGGCGTAAGGCGATATTGTGTCAAACCAAGACAATCTGGCGAATCCTTGAATGGTAACCGAACGACAATTCTTCCCATCGCATTTTGGTGGACCGTTTCACGATATAATGACTCACACACAACATGTGCTGGTGACCATGACTTTGCAGCCGGTTGCACTTCCTCTATCTTCCACATCATTTCTAATTGATCGGAAACTGTATCTTCAACTGATAATAGGCATTTTGCTGCTGGTGATGCAAATGGCTAACCCTTGTACTTCCCAGATACGATCCATCCTAATAGTGTTTTTTGAAGTACTGGAAGATTTTCACCTAGTTTGATTTGACCGACAGACAAAATGTCAAAGAAACTTTCAGCTCCAAGCAAAAGGTCAACGCGCTTGGATTTAAAAAATTGCTCATCGGCGAGAGGTGTATTTGGTGGAACCTTCCACAACTTATCGATTTCAGAACTTGGTTGATATGCGATGTGATTCGTAATACCAAAGTCTAAAGCAAGTTCAAAATTTGAATGACGAGATTTGATTGATGTGAGCGTCTGATACCTTATATTGGTCAACGAACTACCAATACTGGAAACATGCAGCCGATGTTTATGTTTTGATAAATTAAGCTTCTTTGAAAACTCCTTCGTTATGAAGTTGACCTGAGAGCATGAATCAAGTAAGGCTCTACCCACTTGATAACTTCCCGATGAGTTCTTCACTAAAACCAATGCAGTGGCTAGAATTATTTGCTCGGCCGATGACATGTTAAGATGGGAATGGCTGGCAACATTGTCGTTGGGCATAGCGGCGTGTTCTGTGCGTCGTGATGATCCGGCGCTCTTAATATTCGTTGGTAATTGCGAATGATGCAAGAGAGTGTGATGTGGCTTTGCGCAAACCTTACATTTAAACGTTGATGTGCAATTAACCACATGATGGCGTCGCGATAAGCAGTTTATGCAGAGTTTAAGGCCCTTCACCTTTTCAAACCTTTGAACCACCTCCAGTGCCTTAAAACGATGACAATTCTGTATTAGGTGTTCATTGCTAGAACAAATTGAGCAAGAATTGCTGGATGTAGATGCAACAAATGCGTATTGTTTTGAGCGTCTGTTAGTCTTGGAGTTAAGATTATTAGGTTTACGTTGTGGTGATGACTGATTGCCGTTTCCACTGTCGAGTGATTCGAGAAACTGGCAATGCCTATCCAACAATTTTGAGCAATCCTCCCAACTGGGTAATGTGTCGAAGTTACGCGATTCATTCCATTTCCTACGTGTAATTGCGTCCGTTTTTTGCATGATTAGCGAGATAAGTAGAGCCTCACATATTTGTTTCTCTGTACCTAGCGAACAGAGTGAACCATACAAAGCGGATGCATTGTTTACCAGACTACGGAGTTGTTGGCTTGACTGACCCTATACTGCTGGTAGATCAAATAGTGTCGCGATATTTTCGGCGAAGATTAGGCTATTATTGTCATAGCGTGATTTAAGCCTATCCAGAGCCTTTGGATAGTTTTCATTCGAAATAGGAAATGCCTGTACTGTCTCTAGAGCTTGACCAGTAAGGCAGTTCAGTAAGTGGTTAAATTTTTCAATATTTGTGAGGTATATTTCGCGATCTATGATTTGGAGAAACGAATTAATAAAATTGTTATAATCCGAGTACTTACCACTGAATATAGGTAATTTTAACAGTGGTAATTTTTTACTTGAGGTGGGCATCATTGCTGTTACATCTAGCATTGACGCATTGTGGGCCTCTTCCTGCAGTTGAGACATGATTAATATTTTGGTGAAAACGTATAGGTCTTCTAATTCATCTCTAGCTGTGTCAGTTGCGTCTAATTTCTCGATCAAAGTCTGAAAAGCTAGAATTTGTTTAAAATATGATTCTAAAATACCTAGTCGACATTTCAGTTCTGGTTGTGAAAGCGAATTGCTCTTTCCTTTGACGAACGCCTTGATCCTTGAAATGCTCGCTTTCGTCGAGGCTCGCTGTTGTTTTAGTTCTGACAGTTCTGCCGTAGTGGTTGGCTCTGCCGTTGCCATTGAAACAGTTGTAGATACCCGGGAACAGCAAAGGATTTGACGAAGTCGAAAAATCACAATAACAGCAGCGAACTTTCCGAAATTGAACTGCTCTTACGGTGGTTGTTGTCAGACGCGACGTTGACGAACCCGCACACTAACTGATTGGAAGCAAATAATAACCAGTAATCAACAAGTAAAGTTATCTTGTTGTTGTTGTTGTAATTGTTGAACGCGACCTTGATGCGGACACGAGGTTCTATTTGGTGCTTAGCGGAACCTAAGCCGAGAACCATAGAATGCACAAAGTACACACGTACGATAGTATGTAGTATATATGTATAGATGTACGATATTATTATAGTTAGTGTTAAGTATTACATTAATAATTTATTTTGTATTTTGCTGACCCATGATAAAATGCATTTAACGTAATCGTAATACATTAATAGGTTATACTTTTGCTGATTAGTGTTTATTTTATAACTAGGGCAAGAACACATTTTAAGTAATTTATTATTCATTGTTTTGCTAAATATTTTATGTGATTTGCTCATTACCCATTACCAACGGGTTTATGTGCTCGGTGGTATCTTCACGAATATAAAAAATATACAAATATACCGTCCAACAAGTTACATGTGCTTGGTGGAATTCCGGTATACAAATACAAATTGATAGAAACTTGAGAATAAAAGCATTCTCAACATGTTTTGGTGACCCCGACGTGATATTCCTATAAGGACAATAAATAGGAACGGTATTATCATGGAGCATTTCAACACACTTATTGATCAACAACAAGCTATAGGAGCTGAGATCGAGAGGATAATCAGCAACTTCAAGAAGGATCCAGCCTCAAGGAAGACGAATCGCTATTATCAGGATAGAATTCTACGGTTAACTGAACAATGGTCAAGGTTAGAGAAGAACCACAACACGTTACTGTCTTGTAAAGCTATGGCTGAAGATACAGAAGACGAGTATTTCACCACGGGCTACTATGACAAAATGACTGAATTGACAAACAAATACTTGGGTATTTTTAACAAGGCATTAATCGAAATGCAAGAGGTAGAAAATGCTCAGGAAAAGCCGCCAGGGCAACATAATCAAAATCCAATGCAGCTTCAACAAAATGAAGAATTATCAAGAGTGTTGCGTAATCAACGAGCACTCATAAATGTCATTGGCAGATCCAGTCAAGAAATTGAAATGGCAAGCCAAGAATCTCAAAATGAAGTTTTTTATTCTTGCAAGCTTGCTTTGATAGAAGGTTATCACAAAGCATTCGATAACAACAATGAAAAAATATGGAATTCTACATCAGAAGAATTCATTGAAGGGTACACCTGGGAATTGTATTATGAAATTAGTCAAAAACTCCCAGACATGGAGATTTGTTTGAAACTCAAGCTAAAATCATCCAATTCTCACTACCAGCACAATTCAACAATTCAGGCAGTTAAATTACCACAGTTAACAATTCCAACATTTGACGGAAACCAGCTGAAGTGGGTAGAGTTTCGAGACCTGTTTACACAACTTATAGACGAACAACCATTCAAACCTATCCAAAAGATGTTCTACTTAACAACTAACTTGATTGGTGAGCCCAAAAACCTGATAAAGCATTTGCCATCATCAGCTGAGAACTACATTACTGCATGGGAGATTCTGAAGGCTAGATACAATAATGGTAGATTATTAGTTACCGCATTGTTAAACAAATTATTCGCATTACCAGCAATGACAACTGAAACCGCTTCTGGCCTTAAAACATTGCATGACATTTCACAAGAGTGTTTATTGGGACTTAAGGCGCAGCACATTCCAGTCGAACATTGGGACGCATCCATATCAAAAAATCCTGCTTCTCTGTTCTCCAACAATCTCAACATCCAGAAAAATTATGTGGTATTAGAAACTGCACGTGTTGTCGTTAAAGGCAACAATGGAAGAGAAATTGAGTGCATAGCATTATTGGATTCCGGCTCCCAAGTCAACCTGATAACCGATCAAATAATTAAGAAGTTAGGTGAAAACCCGAAAAAGACCTCAGCATGTATAGAAGGTGTGAGGCAAAAAAACCAAGATGCGCAACAACGAATCAATTTAGCTTTCTCGTCCATAATTAATGGATTTAGCAGCCGAATAGAGGCTTATGTATTACCTAAGATTGTGTGTGACCAGCCGAGCATTCATATTGAAAGCTCAAGCTGGAAAATACCACAGAACATCAATCTGGCAGATCCGTCGTTCAATACCCCAAACAAAATCGATCTCCTACTTGGAGCCGAGTTTTCTCATCAACTATTGTCCATCGGCCAAATAAACCTTGGCAGAGGTCTCCCCATCCTACAGAATACATGGCTTGGGTGGCTTGTGGTGGGAAAAATATCTAACCAAAATTCAATTATTTCACCACAAGTTTGTGGAATATGCTCCGAAGATGAGCAAGATACGATGAAGGTTATCGAGCGGTTCTGGCAACTAGATGAACCAGAAAAGGCAAACAAAAATCTGTCTCCTTCCGAAGAGTTGTGCGAGTCCCATTTTGCAACTTATATGAAAAGGAATCAAGACGGTCGATTCAGTGTCAGATTACCCTTCAAGCAAGATCCATCGTTGCTTGGTGAGTCAAAACACATTGCCATTAACAGGTTTTTAGCGTTGGAAAGAAGACTCGATAAGGATATAATACTCAAAACACAGTATGTACAGTTCATGAATGAATATACTGATCTCGGACACATGGAAAGGGTTGACATCAACCAAGTTAATCCTCATTATGTCAAGAGTGTTAAGAGTGGTATTTGATGCATCGTGTTAAGAGTGGTATTTGATGCATCGTGCAAGACGAGTAGTGGACTATCGTTAAATGATACAATGTTTACTGGCCCAACAATTCAAGAGGAATTGTTTGCGATTTTACTTCGATTCAGGTGCCCAAGATTTGTCTTTTGTTCTGACATTCAAAAAATGTACAGACAAATTATTATTCAGCCCGAAGATCAAGAATATCAATTAATAGTCTGGAGAAGCAATAATAACGAACCCTTACAATTTTATCGATTAAAAACAGTCACCTATGGAACACGATCAGCCCCATATCTGGCTACTAAATGCTTACAACAGTTGGCGAAATCTGAGTTGCAAAAATATCCACTAGGTGCAGCAGCACTAAGTAATGACTTCTACGTAGATGATTGCCTAAGTGGATCAAATAGTCTCCAAACTGCCAAAGATATACAAACTCAGTTAAAAGGTTTGTTGGAATCAGCAGGATTCAAGCTACGTAAATGGTGTGCCAACCATCCGTCACTTCTTCAAAATATTGCAAAAGAAGATCAAGAAGTTGATTTGGACTTTCAAAGTGACGACGCAACATCAATCAAAACATTAGGATTGACTTGGCAACCAAAAGAAGATCAATTTCGCATAAAATTAAAACTGGATCCATTAAAAATCATTACTAAAAGAACCATTACTTCGAACCTAGCCAAAATTTTCGACCCATTGGGATTACTAGGTCCAGTACTCGTAACAGCAAAAATACTAATTCAGGACCTATGGCAACTACAATTAACATGGGACGAAGCAGTACCAGCCGAAATATATACTAGGTGGACTACCCTTTATGACGATCTACAAGTACTAGATCAATTTAAAATAGATCGTCATATATTCGGAAAACAGTTGCCAGCACTTGAATCAATACAATTGCACGTATTTTGTGATGCTTCACAAAAGGCATACGGAGCCGCAGTCTACGTTCGAGCGAAACTAATGGATGGTCGACTAATAAATCGATTGTTCTGTTCCAAGTCTCGTGTTGCTCCACTCAAAAAACAAACGATTCCAAGGTTAGAACTGTGTTCAGCTCTATTAGGAGCGACATTGATGAAAAAGGTTAATAACAATATAAATCATGATGTAGCAACATATTATTGGACTGATTCAGAAATCGTTCTCTTCTGGATCAACTCTTCATCAGCAAGGCATAAACAGTTCATAGCAAATAGAATCAATGCAATTCAGGAAATTAGCTTGCCTAATCAATGGCGTCACGTAAGATCTAAGGACAACCCAGCTGACTCATTATCACGGGGTATCAAGCCAGCTCAATTACTCGAAAATAACTTGTGGTTATACGGTCCACTCTTTCTTCATGGTTCCGAAAGCAACTGGCCTGGCGAATTCAATAAAACTCTCTGTATTGATCCGGTGAATCCTGAATGGAAACAAACGACAAGGGAAGTGGCCTTAATCTCAACTGATTACGATATCCATTAGATCGATAGAATCAATCACAGGAATTCATTCAGAACTCTACTACATACGGTGGGATATATGCTGCGATTTGTAAATCGGGCAAGGCGAACCAATTTAAGCAATATCACTATGGCTCTAAGCCCTATGGAACTGGAGCTGTCACTCAGGCATATAGTGAAGTACATACAATAGTCAGAACTAAAAGAAGAATTAAATCAGTTAGAACGCAACCAAACAGTAAAACCTGCAAGTACACTTGCTGGACTGATGCCATTTTTAGATGAATACAAGATAATTCGCGTGGGGGGAAGGTTAGAAGCATCATCACTTACATATGATGAAAAGCACCAGATAGTCCTTCCATACAATAACCCTATTGTAAAACTGATAATGAAAGACATACATGGACGAAATATGCACTGTGGTGGTCAAGCACTGCTGGCAGCAGCGAGACAAAAATTTTGGCCGATCAATGGTAAAATTATGGCAAGATCAACTATTCACCATTGCGTTCGTTGTACTAGATGTAAACCAATTACTTTTGAACAAGTCATGGAAAGTTTACCAAGGCATCGAGTACAGCCAAACAGGCCATTTTTTAATACCGGAGTTGACTTCTGTGGGCCTTTTTGGGTGCATTATAAGGTGAGAGGAAAACGTCCGCATAAGGCATACCTAGCAGTTTATTGTTGTTTTGCGACAAAGGCAGTACACTTGGAACTGGTAAGCGACTTGACAACAGAAGCATTTATCGGATCATTAAAACGTTTTATCGCACGACGCGGATGCTGCCAAAATATATACTGTGACAATGCAACGAATTTTATTGGTGCCTCTAACAAGTTGCAGGAATTAACAACAACAATCCATTCCAATGTAGCTCAGGAACAAATAACAAAAACTTGCAGCAACAAAGGAATAGCATTTCACTTCATCCCTCCTCGTGCACCTCATTTTGGTGGACTATGGGAAGCAGCGGTTAAATCAGCAAAGTACCTATTGGTCCGAAGCGTTTCAACTGAAACGTTAACGTACGAGGAACTCGAAACCGTCATTATAGAAATAGAAGCTATTTTTAACTCACGACCTTTAACACCAATGTCGTCTAATCCAAATGATTTGCAGGCTCTCACACCAGGTCATTTCTTAGTTGGTGATGCACTAACAGCACCCGTAGACGCAACATGTGAAAAGGTAAAATCATCTCTTTTGACTAGATGGAATCTGGTTGCACACTTAAAACAAGAGTTTTGGAAAAAATGGCGGGCAGAGTACCTAATGGAACTACAGGTTCGAAACAAGTGGCGTGAAGAATGCAAAAACATTGAAGAAAATACACTGGTGATCCTTAAGGAAGATAATGTACAACCTTTGCAATGGCCTTTAGGGCGAATAATGAAGACATATAGGGGTAATGATGGATTTATACGAGTCGTAGATGTCAAAACCGCAACAGGCATGTTAAAGCGACCAATTCACAAACTAGCACCCTTATTTCCTGAAAACAAACCTATTAAAACACAGGAGAATCGCCATAACAAAGAAAAACGAATGGACAATGAGATAGTCCCACGAAAACAAAGACGTGTGTCCTCCAATATAAAATTAACTATAGTACTGATATCTCTACTTTTACTCCCGATTGTTCTTTGTTCACCAGTAAACGTAACTGAACTTCGCTCCGCTCCTGGCATACATTTTGAACAAGTAGGAATAACAAAATTGATAACATCCCACTGGAAAATGATAATCTATTACGATTTAGCTCCATTTAATACAGAGCTGGACATACTAAAGGATTCAACGTTGAATCTTTTGAAGCTATGTGATCAAAGCAACTTAAACTCAACATGCAAGTTTGTGATTCATCATTTCCAGCAAGCAGAAATTGAATTAAGAACAGCATTTGAATTTATGTCAAGCGCCCGAAATAAGAGAGGGGCAATCGATTTAGTTGGGAATATAGCAAGTTCCCTGTTTGGAGTACTCGATTTCAATTATGCAAGTGACATATCGAAGACGATCAAAACCCTAGAAGATCATGATGACAAACTCAAACATCTGCTCAAAAATCAAATATCAATAATTGACTCCGCAATTAACGTTATAAAAAAAAACCAGATATGTCTTAAAAATAATTTCCAAAGTATAGAGACTCAATTAAACGCGATCTCCAAAAGGTTAGTTAAGGACGAACATGACCAATTATATGGCAATATTATTAACATGCTGACCATCCAAATGACAATCGCCATGATAAATTTGCAACGTACGCAATCCTCAATCATGGATGTTCTCATTGATAGTCATCACGAAAAAATTAACCAGCTTCCAATTACGCCGCAACAGTTAATAACGGAAGGAGAAAAAATCCGAGCACATTTACCGTCTCATTCACAATTTCCAGTAGAACAAGATGATATATTAACTCTTTATAAGCTGATGCAAGTAACTGGGCAGGTATCAAGTGACCATGTAATATTCAATATTATGATACCACTCGTTGAACGAAAAACCTTTGAAATATTTCATGTAGTACCTGTGATCTCTAGCGCGACCAAGGTATTAACGTCAATAAAGCCATCAACAGAATATCTGGCTATCAATTCTCACAAGGATGAATACTTCCCCATAACAAAATTAGCACTGCAATCGTGTATTACAACTGAAAAGGACTCATACCTTTGCTCAAATGTTCAATCTATTTATCGTCATGGAGCAAATGTGTGCAAGTGTGAAATCAATTTGTACAATAATGGAACAGGTGACGAATGCGAAATAGTTGAATTAAAGGAAACTACCATTTGGACTCAGCTGAAACACAAAAATCACTGGATATACGCTACCAAATATCCGATGCAACTCAATGCAGTATGCGGTTCGAATGCATTTCCAGTGATACTAAATAGTACCGGCATGGTAAAAATTGCATCAAATTGTGTCATCAGAGACAACACGGTTCTTATTCAAGGACACCAAGTCATAACAAGTCTGCTCAAATCAGCATATACGAGCATAGGAATTTCAACACCTGAAATTAAGCCATCTAAGCGGATAAACAATTCTGAAATTGAATATCTTCCACAATTAAGAGAACTAACAATTCTGCAAAAACAACTAACGAAGGCTACATTACCTGAACTATCATCAAAGGTACAGCAAACTGAAAAGCATAGCTTGTCAGTGGGGTACGCAGCCTTGTTTTTGATTATTGGAATCATCATCTTAAAAATAACTAAACTAATACGAAACAATCAGACGCAAGGTCAACCGAATGTTCAGACACCTCAGCCGCTTCCAAGATCAAGGTCAACATTTGATATCACAACAACATAAAGATGACATCACTCTAGTTGAATTAGAATTCAAAGCGGGGGAGGATATGTTAAGTATTACATTAATAATTTATCTTTTGCTGACCCATGATAAAATGCATTTAACGTAATCGTAATACATTAATAGGTTATATTTTTGCTGATTAGTGTTTATTTTATAACTAGGGCAAGAACACATTTTAAGCAATTTATTATTCATTGTTTTGCTAAATATTTTATGTGATTTGCTTGCTATTAATTACTCATTGTTTTGCTAAATATTTTATGTAATTTGCTTGCTATTAATTATTTATTGTTTTGCTGAATATTTTATGTGTCATTATAAGTAATATTTTTTGCTTGATATTAATTATTGTTTTAAATTGGGTCAGTAAATTATTGTACGAAATAAGTTTTAGTAAGTAATTATTATAAGAAAAATGTATATAAATAAACCAATTCTTTTAATAAAGTGTATTCGATGATACAAACTTGAATAGAACTCATCTTCTTTTCATAAAATGACCAACGGGTTTATGTGCTCGGTGGTATCTTCACGAATATAAAAAATATACAAATATACCGTCCAACAAGTTACATGTGCTTGGTGGAATTCCGGTATACAAATACAAATTGATAGAAACTTGAGAATAAAAGCATTCTCAACAGTTAGCACACATTAGATATATAACTGTTTAGGAGCAATACTCACACGCGCACATTATGGTTACAAATTAACCAAAAATAATAAAAGCGAAAGTATGTACAATCAACAAGTAAAGGTATCTTGTTGTTGTGATTTTAACTGTCGAGCGCGACCTTGATGCGGACACGAGGTTCTGTTTTGAGGTTAGCGAACCTAAACCGAGAACCACCAATTGCACAATAGTATATACGTACGATAGATAGTACATATGTAGTATCTATATAGATGTACGATATATTATAATGATTAGCACACGTTAGCTATATAAATGGTTAGAAGAAGTATTCATACGCGCACTTTAATGGTTACAAATTAACCAAAAACAATAAAAGCGAAAGTATGTACAATCAACAAGTAAAGGTATCGTGTTGTTGTGATTTTAACTGTCGAGCGCGACCTTGATGCGGACACGAGGTTCTGTTTTGAGGTTAGCGGACCTAAACCGAGAACCACCAATTGCACAATAGTATATACGTACGATAGTACATATGTAGTCTCTATATAGATGTACGATATATTATAATGATTAGCACACGTTAGCTATATAACTGGTTAGAAGAAGTATTCATACGCGCACTTTAATGGTTACAAATTAACCAAAAACAATAAAAGCGAAAGTATGTATAATCAACAAGTAAAGGTATCTTGTTGTTGTGATTTTAACTGTCGAGCGCGATCTTGATGCGGACACGAGGTTCTGTTTTGAGGGTAGCGGACCTAAACCGAGAACCACCAATTGCACAATAGTATATACGTACGATAGATAGTACATATGTAGTATCTATATAGATGTACGATATATTATAATGATTAGCACACGTTAGCTATATAACTGGTTAGAAGAAGTATTCATACGCGCTCTTTAATGGTTACAAATTAACCAAAAACAATAAAAGCGAAAGTATGTACAATCAACAAGTAAAGGTATCTTGTTGTTGTGATTTTAACTGTCGAGCGCGATCTTGATGCGGACACGAGGTTCTGTTTTGAGGGTAGCGGACCTAAACCGAGAACCACCAATTGAACAATAGTATATACGTTCGACAGTACACAGAATAGCTATCTGGAAGAAATGTACACACACGTACACTAATGATTACAAAACTAATCAAAAAAAAAATTATTACAACACGTGGGTAATATTTAGATTTTTTAATAAATTAGAGTTTAATAACCACTATTCAACTTGCAAAAAGTCCTGTCACGGTCACCAATGTAGATTATAAGCGTTTTTATAATTGGGTTTTGTGATCTTTATTTGATTTTATTTAATTTATACAATTGAATTTATGCAATTTCGGTTATTGATTGTTTAATCACTTTTTTGTGTGTACCCGTGTGTTGACACGTTCGCGATCAAAAAACAAGAGACAGAATCAAACCAACGGAGTTTACTTGCAGCCAAAAAATATAACAAAAAAAATTGCTCATCTCGAGCGCAAAAAACAAAAGGCAATAAAAACAAGACTTAGAACCGTTGGTTTGATTACATCTTATACAGGGTTAGTTAGATAAATTAATTAACCATATATTAACCATATAAAATATTATATATGAATTATATAATATATTAATTATAATAATTTAATTATACAATATATGATTTACAATAGATTAAAATGTAATAAAATATAATATATAAATCATATAACACATCAATTATAATAATTCTACAGAATCCTACAATATTAACAATTTGACTTTAACCGCTCTAACAAGCTTTTTTAGAATGAAATTTCTCGCGAATTCTTTTGTCATTTTGATATAACATAGTTTATCGTATTTCTAGTATTTTTCAATATCACTTTCAGTGTTTCTTTTTGTGAAACAGCTGGTCTAAAAATGTACTGTCTTCTGAAAACGTTGATAGGTTTTTCAGAAATGGATATGTAGTTCGAATTGTCCTCTGTGGCTGAGTGTATTGTAGCCACGTCAGAGGCTGCGTCATTCATGAAGCATTCTTTTTTGAAAAAATTGTTTTCAAGGCTTCAACTCTCTCTGCTAAAGCACTATAACATATTCGGTAATAGATTCAATTATATACCCTATCTTGATAGACAAATCACGGATGGTATTTACTCTTAAAGATGAAATGTCTTCTGTAATGGCCATTTGGTCCTTTGCGGGTCTTTAATATTGTTTTAAAAAAATCTTGCACTGGTCCCAATTCTCAGAAACATTTGTTTGCAAGTAGTTTTTGGGTTCTATATATATATATATAATAAGGGTTCTATATACTTAAGATCTTCCTCTATTCTTTGTCTAATTGTTCTATGGCTAAGCATAGCGATTTGTTCTAGCAACTGTGTTATAGACGCTAAACAACGTCCCATTAATTCCACTTGGTTTTCCATAATAACAATATAATATTATAATAATATAACAATATAATGATATTATTGTATTGTTATTATATTATTATTCAATAATATAATATTATAATGTTTAATTAGTTTATAGTCCGTATATAATTTGTTTGGACTGCAAGTGCCAGGCTTAGAACTCGTGCCTGTCAAATTAGAAGCGATGACTAATCGTGTTTATCCACAAGAAGCCAAGGCTGCACAAACTTTCAATGCTCAAGTTCCAGGTTTTATGTCACTTATTTTTATTTGTCCCTATACAAAGTAAGTCTAGCTTAACAGCAATACTAATACTTTATTCAAATATTAGACTTGTGAAAAGTAAAGAACAATAGGTTAAAATATAATATTGTTCAGCTTTTCCTAACCGCGAGAAAGCGGATTTGTAGAATAACATAGCATAGCTTCTTTGTAAATGCACCAGAATGGTCGCTTTACATATAGTAAGTAAAACAATATGCATTACAAAATGTCTCTACAAAAAGAGTAGCTTTGAAAAGAAATAAAGAATTAGCAAACCCAAAAAGTTAAACTTTCAATTCGTTGAACTTGTGTTTCCAAAATAAAGCTGTAGTTTATAAGCTCGTTCTAATTTAAAGCACGGCAAGTGCTTTGGTTGTTGTCACTAATTAAATAAAAATAAGTGACAATAAAACCTGGAACTTGAGCATTGAAAGTTTGTGCAGCCTTGGCTTCTTGTGGATAAACACGATTAGTCATCGCTTCTAATTTGACAGGCACGAGTTCTAAGCCTGGCACTTGCAGTCCAAACAAATTATATACGGACTATAAACTAATTAAATAAAATTCGATTATTTCCAAAGACCACTGATGAAGAGTACTTGGCAATACTCGAAACAGCGTTGTATGGTCAGCCGAACTTCAATAAAATTAAAAAATAAATTTTTGTGTTTGTACTTTATTTCTTTCTTTGCTATTCGAAAAACTCCTCTAAAATTTAATAAAGCTTCTTTGTCCCTATACAAAGTAAGTCTAGCTTAACAGCAATACTAATACTTTATTCAAATAATATTATAATAATATAACAATATAATGATATAACAATTCTATAACGTATCGATTTTTTGTATTTTAAGAATAACTATATTAATTAATAAACTATATTACAGATTATTAAACAATAAATTTCATAATGTAAAGAATTATTCACTATATATTACCAACGTGTTGCACTCCATCCGTCAAGTGTTGTGTCAATTATATTCCATCTGGAATGTTGAATACTCCGCTCACGGTTTCAAAATTCAAAACGTCAGCATATAGGGAGCTTCTGGAAGCTGCTTCATGCAAATAATGTTGTTGCATTTAGTTGCTTTTATCTAGTTTATTTTATTTCGAATTAATAAATTGTCGATTTAAAATGAATGCTATAGCTGCATTTATTTTATTACAGTTTACTTGAACGTGAATAAATGCAAACCAATGTGTCGTAATTATTCTGTCTTTTTTTTTTGTTTTTATATTATTATTAATTGAACTTATTTTGTTTTTTTTTCTTTGTTTTTTGATACACATTTTATTTATCCATAACTACCGAATAAATTTCTTTTGAGTCCATCTTTTTAGTTGAAAATTTTGTGTGTTTTAACTCCTTAATTCATTATCAAAAACTGTTACTTCATTTACAATAGTCAATTATGTTATTTTAAGTTTCGTTCATAAAAATGATAAAAAAATTATAAATTTTTAATCAATTATTTCGCATTTTAGTTTGACAATGTTGTTTTACTAATAATGCATTCGTTTAAAAAAATCCCTTTTTTTTTGTTTGTTTGTTTTATTATTTAGTATTTCTTATTTTACGCAATAATATTATATTGTTCACTGAATCTAAATATTTTTCGCAAAATTTTAATAGGAACAATCAACATATTTTTGAGGAAATGTCTCTGTAATTTTTAAAACGTGGTTCTTCAAAAAAAATCCGACTGCGCCAGTAATGTATTTTAAATTAAATACGTCTTTACAACTTGATTGTTGAAATAATAATCTTTTTAATTTTCATTATACAAAAAGTGCATTAGTTTAGAAAACATGCTACTTTACCGTTTCTATAAATTTAGAGTAAACAAGTAGCAACAATTTAAAGGCGATGAGTTGATCATGCCATTAAACCGTTTCTCCAAATTTATAGAAACAGTTTACAATTACTAAAGAAAGGCAGGGGCGGGTTAATACGATTATGTTACTCACACACAAAGGCAGATGACCTCGGTATTACTATAGATAGCGGGTTAACTGGAAAGGCCATATATCAAAGCTAAAAGTAATGAATTCAAGCGTACTGGCTACTCTGTGCGAATTAGGCTAAGTTGCGTTATAAATGAGGAAAATTCTAAGTTGTGCCGCTAATGTAGTGATGTGTATGAAAAAAGTGAAAGACAATAATTTCATACACGCAAATATGTTTCTTTATTTGATCACAATTTTTAAAATACAACACTTTGTATAAATCAGCCACGCCACGATAGATAAGGTACGCACATCGCCAACCAGAAGTAAAAAAAGGAAACGGAAAGAAGAAAGGCAAAAACGAAGCCAAAAATTATTGTTTGCCAGACGTCAAACTGCAGCGGTCAAAAACTACTAAATGGGTGATGCCATATCGCCTACTTGCTGTGCCAAATCTCAAACATCCTGCCAGGCTGGACGGGTACGTTCAAGATGCTCCACAAGCCTGCATATCTTTTGGATAGGTCGCATGCATTCGCCAGCTGAATACTTGATCGTGACCACTCGTACCAAACTATCTTCGCCTGCGTGAAGTTTGATCACCCTGCCTAGCCGCCAATCTGTTGCTGGTAGATTCTTTTGCCGGATAATCACGACATCGCATATATTGATGTTTTCACCATTCTGATGCCATTTGGAATGTGGTTACAAAGTTGAAAGATATTCATCATGCCATTGTCGCCAAAATGCTGTTGCATTTGCCTTAATTGTCGCCAGTATGATAATTTGTTGCTACGTACCTTGCCAATAGGTTCATCTGGCACTGCCAATAGAGATCTGCCAATTAGGAAATCTGCAGGTGATAGAACCACCTTGTCGTCACAAGTGTCATGCAATGGTATGAGTGGACGTGAATTCAAGCAAGCCTCGATATGTAGAGTATGTAGCTCATCATAGTAAATCAAATGGGTGCCAACAATGCGTAGTAAGTGCTTCTTTGCTGACTTAACGGCAGCTTCCCATAAACCGCCTTGATGAGGTGCACCAGGTGGTAGAAAATGCCATTTTGTGCCTCGATTTGCCAATTGCTGTTGAGAATATTCATTATGCCAAGCCTGTAAGTTAGCGGCCATTAAGCGATCTGCGCAAATGAATGTTGTGCCATTGTCACTGTATAAATGGTTACATGGACCACGCCGGTTTACGAAACGGGTGGATGCATTTATGAATGCCTCAGAAGTGAGATCTTCAGCCAGTTCGATGTGCACTGCCTTGGTTACCATGCACACAAAGATTGCTACGTAAGCCTTCCGCACGGTTCGTACAGCCTTGGAGCCGAATGTTGAATGGACCGCAATAGTCTAAACCAGATCTTGCAAATGGTGGAGATGGGGTGACCCGAGCCTTTGGTAATGTCGCCATACGTTGTTTTAGCATTATGTATTTATGCCGCCTGGAAATCGCGCATGAAGGTATGCATTGCTTGACCAAAATGCGTGCCTGTAAAATCCAATATTTGTGTCGAATCGTATGAAGCATAATTTGTATACCGCCGTGAAGTGTGTCCTGATGCACCTGCCATATTAAAAGCCTGGCCAATGTGCTATCCTTCGGAAAAATGATTGGATGATGATGTGGCTCTGCCACCCTCGCATTATGTAGGCGTCCGCCTACTCGCAATATATTGTCCGCTGTGGAGTTGATGAATGGACTCAGTGCAATGAGCTTGCTGGATGTGGATATGGGCTGTGCCTTTTTCAGCTGCTTGATTTCCGCTGCGAAATATTTCGCTTGATCTGCCTTGATGTGGTTATTTAAAGCAATGTCCACTTCGCCTGTACAGATGTGTGTATGCGAACGAACCCGCTGATGTGCCTTTTGGAAACGCAATATGTATGCAGTAGTGCGCAGTAGCTTGCCAAGATGACTGAACCGGTCCAACAGATCTATGACGACCAATTCGTCGCCAGCAATGTAGTGTGTCTGTAATGCGGGTTGACCTATTACCTGCAATGCCTTCACCTTAAGTGGTTTTAACTCGCCTTCCATTATTGCCAGCTCTGCTGGTGCACAGTGGTGCAGCTCATTGATTGAATAATCAGTTGCATTATGTGCCACCATAATGCGTAGTTATGCAGCGCCAAAGGTGATATGCCACGACTGGCGCATTCAGCTGGGTTGAGTTTGGTAGGAATGTGATGCCAATGCCTGATATCTGTTATCGATTGAATGCAGCCAACGCGATTAGCAACGTACTGCTTTAATTGTGATGTGTTTTTGCGTAGCCAACATAGAACAATATTTGAGTCGGAGTATAGAGTGTATGCTACGTGCTCCAAATGCAAAACCTGCCTTGTTTCGTGGAAAAGAGTAGCCACCAACTGCGCAGCACAAAGTTCCAATCGGGGTACTGTTACCGAATGTAATGGTGCCACTTTAGTTTTTGATGCGATAATGTGACTCGTGATATTGCCATTGTGGTTTCTTGCCAAATAGAGTGCTGCAGCCATTGCCTTGACACTAGCATCGCAGAATCCGTGAAGTTGTATTTGATATCCGGGTTGCATGCCTATCCAACGCGGTATTCGCACTGCTTCCAGTTGGGACAGCTGCCTTCGGTATATGAGCCATTCTTGCAACAGTTCAAGTGGTAATGGGTCGTCCCATGCCAATTTTGCCTGCCAGAGTTTCTGTATGAAAAGTTTAGCCGTAATGATAACTGGTGCCAACATGCCAATTGGATCATATAATTTTGCGGCATCGCTAAGCACTTACCTTTTCGTAAGATGTTGTGCATCATAAGAGCTGACCTGATAGAAGAGTTCATCAGTGAGTGGATCCCAGTGCAAGCCAAGAACAGTAGTTTCTGCCAAGTGCGGATTAACCTGACATGAATCAGCATCGCCAAGAAGATGTGCCAAAATTTCAGCGCTATTTGATTTCCATTTTCTGAGATGGAACTGACCGTCTGCCAAAACAGATGAGACATCGGCCGCCAGTTGAATCGCCATGCCAATAGAAGGTGGATAGAAGGATGCTGTGCAAAGCAGTTTTAGCTCGTAATTCATCTGAGAGTTTATAAGAATTGTCTCTGCCACATTGCTGCATAGCGCGAACAGCCAAATATGTGCCACTGGTCGTGCCATATGTAACGGTAACCAATTGATATGTGCGAGTGGGCTGATCGGATGATTCCCGACAGAGGATCTGTTGCCACTGCCTATGCCTCTCGTCAACCTTGACTTGCCGAACATTTTCTCCACATCAGCTGGGAATGCTATCTGATGCTGCCTGAAGCGAAGCAAAAGGTTAAGTAATAAATCCTGTATTGGGGGCCAGCGAGTTGTGCATCATTTAATGATATGCCATTCGATGTTTTTTCGGAAGCATTGAATACGACTCGGAATTTTGCCATGACTGCATTATGTGAAATGTAGTATGCCTGAGATGGATCGCCTGAATGATGCTTAATAGGGTGCATGTGACCAAGTTGTTCGTATTCGCGCATAAAAGCCACATATGTTTGCCTGAGCTCTGAGTTGGATGCCAATTTTTGTTCCAACTGGTGAAATTGCCTGAGTGCCATCTGATGTGAATTGCCAAGTGGTGGAGCATCTGGTGTAAATGGTATTTGTACACAATAACTGCCATCATCAAAACGCTTATGTGTGCTCATGAAAATGCACTCGCAAAGATCAACTGCTGCTAGTTTATCGCCTTTAGCCATGTCAATTTCTTTGGATTCAAATAGCCTGTGTAGAAGGTCATCAACTCGCTCATCAGACGCTTCCACACGCAATGCCATAGATTGTTCCGCCTTGTAGTTATGCACGGTTGCTTCAGCTGGTCCAACCAACAACCCAGCCTAATTGCGTATTTTGTGCCACAGGATCATCAAGTTCGCCACGAACTATGCCATCTGCCAACAATTGGCCCCATACGTCTGAGCCAAGCAATGCATCTATAACACCAGTTTCGCCAAATTTCGGGTCTGTCAAAGGCAAATTGCGTAAATGCTGCCAACAGTTTTCCATGATTGGAACCACAGGGATTGCTGAGGTAATTTTGTTGATGATATAGAATTCAACATCCAAGTCAAATGAAGCATTGACAGTCGAAAATATGCGCATGATTGCCCGGCCATCAGTATATGGGCAATTGCCACTGCCAACGCCTTGTATTTGCAATGCACTTTTCTGCTTCCGCAGAGCCAGTTGATTAAAATATCGCGTACTCATTAGACTTACCTGAGAGCCTGGATCGCATAGAGCTCGACACGAGTCGATGTCGCCAAAGCCATTTAAGATGCGTATTTGTGCTGTTGCCAAGAGTTGCCCAATTGCCTATAGCAGCGAATGTCTGCATTGGATGGTATAGTCACTGATGCACACGTGGTGGGATGCCAGCCTGGTTCGGTTTCGCTGGTGCCTGAGGTGTAGTTTGTGCCTGCTGTTTGGACTCTTGCAAAGAAGGAGTTTGCGCTGGTTAACTTCGGCATTGTAGAGTATAATGCCTGCCATTGCATATGCGACAATTAGTTGAGCCACATGCCTTAGTGGAATGTCCAGGTTTCAAGCAATTGAAACAAAGATTCGAGCCTTTGAGCAATGAAGTCGGAAAAACTTGCGTGTTATGACGTATTGTGGCGGCGCTCTGCTTTTTTTCCTTTTTAAATCTGTATTAAAAGTTTATTTTATCAACTGTTGTGCTCAAAATTTTTTACAATTCAAATACTTGCCGATAATGGTGGAAAGTTACACCAACGGGTGTGATTTCTTGTGTTTTTATACATTTTAAATTGATTAATTTGAATCAAATACACTAAATCTTTTGTTTTTTTTTTGCAAAATAATAATTGCAATTGTTTTGTTTTGATTTAAAATCAGCTGATAGAGACAGCAATAATTACTATAAGGCGCGAACTAAAAAGCGCGCGAACTAGTGTTGATAAACGTTTCCAAAATTTATAAATAACTATAATAATAAGTAATATTATGTATATTTGATTAAGAATAATAAATACTTTTTGATTTATAATGAAAGAGTGCAATAAGTGCCGTTCTACTATACGTGGAGAGTCTGGTTTAGTTTGTGAAGGTGTATGTGGTAAAGCATATCACATTGCAACTAAATGTTCTGGTGTGGAGCAATCACATATTAATAGCCTTAATAATAAAATGATTCATTTTATTTGTGATGATTGCTTACAATATATACACAATGTTGACTTTTCTCTTAGAGAAATTAATGAAAGTGTGACCAAAAATAATAATTGTCTTAATGAATATAAAAATGAATTTAAAAAAGCCTTAAACGTTAACGAAAATGAAATTAAATGTTTATTAAAAGCTATAGAGGCAAAATATGCTGATAGGATTAAATCACTTGTTGAGGTCCAAAAATCATATGAAAACAAATTTAATGGACTTGAGCAAAAAATTACATTGTTATCTGATGTTATTAAAAAACAGAATGATGAACTAGCTATTAATACATCTAAGAATATAAACATGATTGAAAATAAAGATACTTTTGCTGCTAAGCTAAAAATGGGTATCAATGCTAATGTACTAATTACTGTGAAACCCATTAATAAACAACAGAGTGAAGAGACAAAAAAAGACTTAAAGAATAAAATTAACCCAACTCAGCTAAATGTTAAAGTGAACGGATTTCAGACTAGGCATGATGGCAGAGTAACTATTAAGTGCATTAACTCTAAAGAACGTGAAGTCCTTGCTAATGATATTAAGAAAAAACTAAGTGATCAATACGTCATTGAAACTCCTACATTGCGTAATCCCAAAGTGCTTATCTCAGGAATGAGTGAACAGTTAGATGGCGACAGTTTACTTCTCGCAATAAAAAATCAAAATAGTATCTCGCTCCAACACCTAAAAGTTTTAAAAGTATACGAATCTTATAAAAAGAAGAATACATTTAACGCCATAATTGAATTAGACGGTAAAGCTTTCAAACAAGTTATGAAAGATCGTAGAATTAATATCAGGTGGAATAGGTGCATCGTTTATGAGCATTTAAATGTTATGAGATGTTATAAATGCTGGGGCTTTAATCATAAAGCAAGTGTCTGCAAAGAAATTGACAATGTATGTGCTAAATGTAATGAGACTATGAGTATGCCATAAGGAGTGCAAAAATGTTTTTATTAAATGTGTTAATTGTGTTAAGGCAAAAAAAACTCTTAACCTTCGTGAGCTGAGTACGGATCATGATTGCAGAGATATTATGTGTAAGACGTTACAGCGGAGAATTAAACTAGAAGCAGAAAATACTAATTATTAATCATGGAAGATAAAACTTTAATTAATATTTTTTGTAAACAACAACGTGGTATTAATATAGTTCATTTTAATGCGAGAAGTCTTTCTGGCTTAAAATTAGATCATGTAAGAGCTGTTTTCGAAGACAGCAAAGTAGATGTTATCTGCATTTCTGAGACTTGGTTTGACTTCCATCTTGATAGTTCGTACCTATCTATAAACGACTTTGTTTTATTTAGACATGATAGGAAACATAAATTGGGTGGCGGCGTTGCTATTTATTGTAAATCATATTTAAGAAGTCAATTGATCTGTATATCGGAAGAAAGTGAAATTGAATTTTTATGTGTATGTATTTATTTAGGTAGTCATAAAATTCTTGTTTCTTGTGCTTATAACCCCAGTAAAAGGTACTGTAGTGGTCCTCTTTTTGAAGCCCTCCTTCCTATTGCTGTCAATTATGATTTTATTGCCATATTTGGCGATTTTAATATTGATATTCTTTTGAGCAATGCTAAAGTGTCTGCACTGAATGGCCTTATAGCTATGGTTGGTCTAAGCATTGTGAATAATACCGTGCCTACTAGATATAGTAATAATGTACGCCCAAGTCTCCTCGACTTAGTGATCGTGTCTGATCTGACCAAAGTGTTGTTATTTGATCAGATTTCGTTTGTTTCCGATCATGATTTATTATTTACTACCTTAGATTATTGTGTAACGAGAAATGTCAATCCCTCTCAATTTTCTTTCTGGGATTTTAAATCAGCTGATACTCAGTTATTATGTAGTGATTTTAGCACTGTTGACTGGAGTAATTGCTGGTTTGGTGCTTCAGTTGATGACAAATTGACAGTCTTAAACAATATAATTATTAATTATTTGCATCAGTATATTCCGTATCGTACTATACATGTTAAGAATTCTTCATGTCCATGGTTCAGTACTGACATCAAACGTATGATAAACAAGAGAAATAGGAAGTATGCAGTGTGGAAAAGATATCCGAATGTTTTTAACTGGACGCGGTTTAAAGCAGCTCGAAATTTGACTCGAATGGCTATTTATCTTGCTAAATCTAGGTTCATTAAATCTAAACTAGATACCTCATTACCTACAAAATCACTTCGGAGCAACATCAAAGCTCTAGGGGTGGTTAATAGCTCAAGAAATGTATGTAGCATTGATCCTAACATTTTAAATGATTTCTTTGTTCCTATAGGAGATAGATTGAACGTTGCTCCGGTCTTCCCTGAACTTGAGAGTGTTCCCCCCGAACGCAGTTTTGACTTTATATGTGTTAGTGAAGAAACTGTCTTTAATAATGTCATGAAAATCAAGTCAAACGCTATTGGAATAGATGAAATTCCGCATAAATTTATTAAACTTATACTGCCGTTTATTATTACTCCTTTGACGCACATTATTAACCACTGTTTCACTACATCATGTTTTCCTACTGTTTGGAAAAAAGCCAAGATTATTCCAATTGAAAAAAAGGCTAATGCATCCTCATGTTCCGATTATCGCCCAATCAGTATTCTCCCTTCACTCTCTAAAGTGTGTGAGAACATTATGGCTGATCAAATACGTACTCATCTTAACTGCTTTAAACTTCTCTCTCCTCTCCAGTCTGGGTTTAAAAAAGGTCATAGCTGCACGACGGCAATGCTTAAGGTCCTCGAAGATATTCGATGTAGCTATGATCAAAACTTAGTAACATTTTTATGTCTCCTTGACTTTACTAAAGCTTTTGACTGTGTTGACCATTCTCTATTATGTAAAAAGCTTTTTCATTCCTTTTATTTTTCTAGGTCGGCCTCAGAATTTATTTATAGCTACTTAACTGGAAGGGAACAGGCTATACTCGTAGAGAATGCTTTTTCTAATTTCAAACCTTTATTTACTGGGGTACCTCAAGGCTCTGTACTAGGACCTCTTTTATTTTCAATTTATATTGATGATATTTTTTCAATATGTAAGTATGCTAAATTGCATGCGTATGCAGATGATATTCTAATGTATCTATCTTGTCGGATTTCTGATATTAATGACCTCGTGCAAATGACTACTGCAGATTTATCATATATAGTGGTATGGGCTAAGCAAAATAATATGTTCCTTAATATAAACAAGTCTTCAATTCTACCAATTGTTAGGCTAAATATTAATGTTGATTTCTTGCCATTTCTTGCTGAGGTAATTTTGTTGATGATGTAGAATTCAACATCCAAGTCAAATGAAGCATTGACAGTCGAAAATATGCGCATGATTGCCCGGCCATCAGTATATGGGCAATTGCCACTGCCAACGCCTTGTATTTGCAATGCACTTTTCTGCTTCCGCAGAGCCAGTTGATTAAAATATCGCGTACTCATTAGACTTACCTGAGAGCCTGGATCGCATAGAGCTCGACACGAGTCGATGTCGCCAAAGCCATTTAAGATGCGTATTTGTGCTGTTGCCTATAGAGTTGCCCAATTGCCTATAGCAGCGAATGTCTGCATTGGATGGTATAGTC